ATGGATCTTTGAATACTTTCGTAAGAATCACAGAGTCACATCACATGAACTTGTCAACTGCTTCCTACTGATCACTTCTAGAAAGAGTCATTTTACTAGAACAAATCTGCTACGGCCAATTCATGTCAGCAACAGTCAATTAACAGCAAACACAATCCCAAAGAAAAGTATACGGGCCGAGACTGGTGGTTTAGAAGCAAAGGGGAGAAGTACCATCCACTCTGAAGTCTAAGAATAACATCCGTTTACAGTTCTTGCAGCTATTTTGTATGCAAACTCTGTTGCGTGTTTTAACCAACTCCGCAGTGCAATAAGTATCAACTGTTCCAAACAGCCTGATGTGTTTCCACCGCCAAGGGCGGGGCTGAGAGGGGGGCAGTGTACATTATTCTGCAATCATGGTAACGCTTTGGACAAACTTGCCCGAAAGCGCAGCTTGCTGCGAAGAGCAAACAGCTCTTCCCTAGTTTTGGCCTAGCTGCTGCACTTGAACTGCACAAGCACGGACGGCCCCTCAGCAAGACGTTCCGGGCCTGGTGCAAGCTCCTCAACCCCCAGTCACCCCCTTCCTCCTCCTCCCTCTCCCCTCCTTCGCGGAGACTAGAGACCCGAAAGGGGCCGCCCCGGGGATCCCCACCACCACCACCACCTCCTACACCCCTCCCTCCCTCGTCAACGCGCCCTGCCAAACACCGGCTCCCGCGAGCTGGGGAGGTGCCACTGCTCTGAGCCTGGCGGCGGCTGCCGCGGAGAGGCTCGCAGCGCGCGCGCGTGTGTGTGTGTGTGTGTGTGTGTGTGTGTGTGTGTGTGCAGACAATATGCAATAGGAGAGAAACTCCCCGTGCTACCTGACAGGGAGAGCGGGTATCTGCAGGCAGAGAGTCCTCCTCCCACCATTCCCCGGCATGGCAGCCAACCCAGACCCAAGGCAGCAGCGGCGGCGGCGGCACCGCGCGGCGCTGCGGCAGGTTCAGTAAAGAGAAAGTGTTACCGTTCTCGCCGGGAAGGATCCTGCTGAAAGCTTGGCTTGGTCGGCGCCATCTTCCTGGGGTTTGTTTTTGTTTTTTTTTTGTTTGTTTTGTTTTTTCCTCTCTCCCTTACTTTTCCCCCGTGCCGGGGCTGGCGTGTGTGGTGTGTCTAGCGGCGGCGGCGGCAATGGCCCTGATTACCCAGACAGGCTAAGGAAAAGTACTCAGGCCGAAGCATCGCGGGCTCCCGCTCCTCGGCGCAGTCCTGGTGCAGGTTGCTCGCTAGCACGGCTGCTGCGGCGGCCGCCGTCCACAAGCCGAGGAGCGGAGAGAGCCCGGGCTCCGCCGGCTCCACAGACATGCCAAGCGCAGAGACAGGCGGCTGGCGGCGGCGGCGGCGGCGGCGGGGGGAGAGAGCCGCGCAGCCCCGGCGGGCAGCCCGGCCATTGGCATCGCCCGGCAGGTGTGACACACGCACACAGCACGGGCCAGATTAAGCTGGGTGCCAGGCCATGGGGCGAGCGGGGCTGGGGCGAGCGGGGGAGGGAAGATTCAGGGAGCTCCGGGCTTGACCGCTGTGAAAGTATTTCTGGGCATTTTCCAGCTGCTTCCCCAGCTCCGCTCTCACTCTCTGTGCAGGGGACAGAGCCTCCGCTGCCGGCGCAACAACGCCACTCAGTTGCAGTTTCGCACACTTTCCTGCTCTAAAGCAGCAGATCCAGCAGAAAAGAGGGGCTGAGAGACACGGGGGGGGGGGGGTGGAGGGGGGTGTATGTGTGTAACTCTGCGAATGCACATGTGTGCATAGCACAGGGGAGAGCATGTGTGCGCTGTATGTGGAAATCCCTGAGACAACATATGCTCTATACAGCGGGTGTGCATTACATATGGAGAAGTGCGTGTGTGCGCAATATGTTGTGTGCAACATATGTGCATCTACTCTGTATACGGTATTGGAAGAGAGTATATGCGTTAGATACACAGAAGTGTACGCACGTGTGTATAGCTCATATCCTCTGTACAGAAACCGCAGATAAATGGGGAGAGGGTTGCGAATATAGGTACGCACACCCATTTGAGTATGTACACATCCTGCATCTTAGTTTACAGTTCCAGCTGTAGATGTTCTCTTCTTGAAGGATGTAACATTGGTCATGTTAACACAATGTGACTCGCTCGGTTTGGAAAGCATATGCTTCACGTTCACTGGAGATTACCAAATGGATCACGAAATAAGGGAGCGAGAAAAAGAGCATACCTTACAGATTTCTTTTAACATACCAGGAGAAGTGGGGTTAAAGAGATTTTAAAAGACAATGTCTCTTTTGTAAATGGCTTTTCAAAGCCAAAATAACTGTGTGGCTGGGCTTCTGCTGCCTACAAGTTCAGCTGCTTAGGGCCTGATCCTGTTCCTAAAATGAACCAGATTCTTTCCATGGGCGCAGGATCAAGCCCTAAAAACGGGCTTTAAACAGAGCGTCTCCTCCGTAACTTAGAAAGGGAAATGGGATGGCTACACGTATGACTTGTGCAAGAGAAAGCGAGTGAAGAAGTTATTGAAACACCTGAAAGTTTGGCTGTAGGGCGTTGTAAATGCACCAGCAGAAGAATCTCTCCCTGTAGAAACCAGCGAGACTGACCTACCTATTAGGTTTGAGGACTTCCAGAAGCAGACACAGGCTGCCAGGGCAGCCCAGGGAGCAAGCCCCTGCAGACAGCTTCTCTCTCAAAGCAGCCTACTCACCTAGGCCCCGATCCTGCAAACGCTTACACACGTGTCTACTCGCTATGGTAAAGTTAAGCACGTGGGTAAGTATTTCAAGGATGGGGGCCCCATTTCTTACTGGACTTTTTGTATTTGTCATTCTGCAATACATACACGTATTAACTATATTGTATTTATCCAGAGTAAACATCCTACATCTCAACATAAGATCCTTGGATTTCTTTTATTTTTATTTCAGTCATTAGAAATGGGATCTGTAATAGACTTTCAACTTTATATCAAGGAATGTGAGGGTTCAAAAAGCACAAAATGCCAGTCAATCCGGCAAACCTTTTTCCTCCCCTCCCCCAGGAAAAAGAAAAGTTAAGAGGTGTCATCTTGGATTTTTGCAATGAGCATAAAAGTGATGTCAATGTTTTGGTACATTTGTAAAGCATTTCAGTATAACAAGTTGAAACATCATTCAAATGAAAGGTATAGTTTTAGTCTATAAAACTAATAGTTACCTAACATTTGGAGAAAATGCAAATTGTCTTTTCTACATGAAATTATAGACTGGACTGGATTCTCATTATTGTAAGTATTTGACTATATATTTAGTCAACAATATTTGGTTTACTGGTAGTGGTAGTTTATCAGAGAAGACTTGTTCTTCTAACTTTTTCCTGATTACTGACTGACAAAAATCCACCTATTAAAATCGAACTGAAGTACTAAATTTTCACAAGCTGCCTTGTCCATATATTTCTGTATAGCTTAACCCCTCCAGAGGTCTCTTTCATTTATTTAAAAGTCAATGTGACATTTCTGACCCTTGACTTCCCCACTTCACAGACTAAATTATTGTGACAGTTGCCTGTACTTCCTAGTTAAAGTGGCCGTCAGTTTCCCTTAGAATTTAAATACTTTATAAGTGACAAAAATAATACAGAAACCATGAAAGGAAAATACTAGCCCAACTTTTTCCCATTCTTTATATCTGTCATGTTCCAGTTCTTTTATATAATAGGTTCCTGTATTTGAGCAAAAGAAGGCTGATATTTCATTTCAAACGTTCCTTATCAAGGAAAGTTCTTGGGGATCATCTAACTGCAATATCAATTTTATACTAATTTTTCACGAACTAAAGCCTTCAAAAGTCACACCCAGAAAATTTCTACCATCGAGCATCAAATGGAAAACACACCCATGGGTTTTCCAAAACTTGCCCTCATGTGGTAGGCAACTCAAAGTTGGTGAACAACAAAGCAGGCAATGATTGATTATCTGAATCTCATCAATTTAAATACTGGTGGTTCGAAACAAGAGTTTCCAAATCAGTGAAGTTTTAAATATAAGGTAAAACCTTACTGCGATACTAATATTCACTATATGCATATTTAGTTTGAGGTGTTGGATATTTGGGGTTACACACCATTTTTACCCCAGTATTTAATTTAATGCAAAACTGGAAGCCCGGATGTTTGGAACTACACTATTTTTATTTTATTTTAAAATCGAAATTGTTCAGATTTCAATCTAGACTTATTTTTGTCAATTACTGGGGAGTAGATTTTTGTTCTAATTTACTACTAGCAAAGAATATCAAAGAGAAAGTGCAGTTTTGTTCTCTTAGAAAGAGGAAGAAATGTCATGTAATTAAACACCATGATAGTATGACCACTTATCAATGAATTATTAAGGGATGCAGAGTGGGGAAGGTCTTTAAACTTCATTATGACTTAATGCCTAAACCCAACTTTGTAGGGCTCTTCCTAAAGGCGCTGCCTGCGAATCGCGTGTATTTGCATTAGAATGCAGTTAAGATGAATACTCCACAGTGCTGCGTACACTTTGGGTTTCATGCTATATTTCCCTGTACTAACAGGTGACATAACACTACAATGTGGCCCTGCAAGCGTGCAACTCCAAGTGAAAATTGTCTCTTTCTCTGTCGAAAACAAATTATCAATCAACACACCGTGATCAATTATCCCCCAGGCTGCCACACAGTGGGATTTGCACAAGGCATTGACATTGAGAAATTCCTCTCTAGCAGGGAAGAGCGGACGGGATCCCAAACTTTGCAGCAGCCAAGCTAAGATGCCGGGAACTCACTCCCCCCACTGCCACCCCCCATTGCTGCTTTCCAACTCATTCAAGATACCATTAGAAGATTTTGTTTACATCTCGGTGCATTTTAAAACTGCCTGAATTTTTACACCCAAAGACCTACCAACAGCGGGGGGAGGGAAAGAAACACAAAAGCACAAAGAAAAGCAAGTGAGGGAGCCTCACACACATCCCCTTTTCTGACTTGCACTCACCGTTGTTGGTAGGAAGTGATGCCCTGAACGTTTTGCGGGTTGCCGTTGGCTGCGGTGCTGGCTCTCCCCATGCCTGGCCCGGCCGGCACTCCCCCGGCCGCCCCACCGGCCGCCGCCGCAGTCACCTGCACGCTGAAATCCGGGAAGATCCTGATCATCCCCGCGGCTCAGCACCCAGCGAGTCTCGGCGAAGAGGTACAGCAGCTCCTCTCCCTCCGTCGGCTGCAGCAGCAGAGCCAGGCACACTGCAATCCCATTAGTGAGCGGCGGCCACTGTGAGTGAGGGAAGGCGCTTTGATCTGAGCTGCTGGGCTGAGATTGAGAGGAGTTGGGGGAGGGAAGGGAAGGATGGGGGGTAAAGGGAGGGGGGAGATATTTTACCGATTTGCAAACATATAACGTGTGAGGATTTGAAGGTGGGGGGGTCAGCACTGCCAAAGGAAGGTGTAGCTAATAATACCACCGAAGCTGAGGTTATACCAGAATATCCAGGCTGAGTAGGGACAGAGAGAGGAGAGGGAAGCGCAATTACTTTAGCGGTGCAGTGAAAATGATGAGCAGCAAATGTTGCCTTTTTTCCCCTCCTCCCTCTCCCCCACCCCTCCTCCCAAAATGCAAGTCTTGGAGGATTTCTCTGTCTCAATGAAGTAATAATAAGCGCTGCTGACCACAGCCTGGGCTAGAGCCAACAGCGCGAGGGAGGAGGGGGAGGAAATATCCCAGCTCCCAGAGTCGTAAAGAAAGAAGTGAGAGTGGAGGATTGTTGCTGCCCAAGTTCTTGCTCTTGGTAACTTGCTCCCCCCCCTTCTATGAAGGGACGGTTTTCACAAGTGAGGAAATGCGCCGCTTTTGTGCTATGGCAGAGTTTGTTCCCTATTATAGGGAACTGACTCTCCTCCCCCTCCTAGTGTGCAGCAATGTTATTGCTACTCGAACTTGTAAGGTGTGTGGTTGTGTGTGTGAGCAAGCACCGATCCCCATTGCTGCGTCAACATATCAATTATACAGCTGAGAGGTGTGCAAGAACCCTTTGCAAATTTATATCACAGAGCAGCAGGAGCAAACAATAACAATATTGAGGAAGGTGGCTCGTCTTCGGTGGCTCTTTAATGCAAACTGCTTAATATCCGAGAGGGAAAAGCGTCTGCAGATTTACAGCTCCTTTGTGCAACATGGGTAAGAGTGGGCGCTATTTCCCCGCCCCTCCCTGACCTAGGAGGGTGGATTTGCCTTGCCCCTCTTCTTCGCTGCAAAGTGATTCTCGACCCAAAACCGGGTTGGCTTGGGTCTCAAGGCTGCTGTGCATGTGTATGCGCCCCGAGCCAGGCGGTGCGGTGCGAGGCGATCCTTCTCAGGGCGCAGTAGCCGCCGGCGGTGCGGTGCGAGGTGTTGGAATGCGCAGAGCAGCCCCCCCGCCCCGTGCCATTCCCACCCTTCTCGGAGCCGCCGGGAGTCAATGAGGGAACAACAACTTGCGCTGCCGATTGACTCCCCGCGCGTTAACTGCCGGCCTGGGCCGCTCGCCTCGCAGCCAATCGCCGGCCAAAGCGCGGGGCTGGCGCGGCGCTTCACCTGCTTAACCCTTTGAGCCAGGCGAGGAGGGAGCAGCAGCCTGCGAAGCCGCCGAGACCGTCAGGAGGGGGTGCGGGGGAAGGAAAGGGGCGAGCCACAAGCCCGCAACAGAGCCCTTCCTTTCTTAACAGGGACAGGCATTTGGGAAAGCCCTTGTCCTGCTATGGAGGAACCCAGAAGCCTTGCAAAAATCACCCAGAAAAGCCTGACGCCCCTGCAGCAAATCTACTCACCCAGCCTCACCCTTACACCGAGAAAGTAACTGTGGGTACTTGGCACACATGCTGTCCCCTCACCACACTAAAGTTACTCAGTCTAAGCAAGCTGGAGTTAGTTTGCCAGGGTTCCGTGTAAACGGCAGTGCGTTAAACACGTTCAGTCAGGAGTATTAAGGGAAGAGAGGAGGAAAAGCCTTTCCTCCCTACAGCTTTCCTGTACAGGTGTATTGTCCACCCATCACCCTCCTTCTCCTCTGGGGACTTGGAGCCCAGGCCCCTCAGATCCATAAGGCAGACCTGAAGGAGTAGCTCTCATGTTAGCAGTAACAGCCTGTTCCCCTCTCGCCAGGGGGATGAAGCACACACATGGGGCTAGTGTGGGGTACACAAGCAGCATTCATACTCTGCCTGTCTGTGCTCCCTGAGGATAGAGCTGTTAACCCTGATGGCACCACTCATGGTATGTCTCCACTGGAAAAAAGTGGGTTCTCAACTCAGGTTAGCTAACTTGGGTTAAAATAGCAGTCAAGGCACAGCAACTGGGATGGGCAGCTCACGTTCAACCGTAGGACGCCTATAGACGAACTTAAGTCACAGTATTACAGTTGCACTGTGAGATGTGCTTGCTGTACTTTTCCAGCCTGGCCCACCACTCTAGAAGGCATTGTGCGACTGGCTTCCACAGGCAAAGCTACTGTTGTCCTGGCAGTATATCTCCTTTCACCCAATGCAGCTCTGCCTCTATGAATCTTAAATTGACCCTTAGGTCAAATATCCTCTTCATCTTGACTTTTACTTACTATTTTTGCTTGAAACCAAATTAAGACACATCAACTTTATGTTAAAACAGAGACTGCATTCAAATCCTTTGTATTAAATAGCATCTGTGTTTGCATTCTGTTTTAATACAGAATTCTTTGGACTGCAGCTAATACCAGGAGATATGAAACTGGTTAGTCCCCACATGTTGCACATAAAAAGAATTCATAATGAGCATCTGTGGGATGTGGAATGGATCCCATGAGTTAGCTGAAGACCTCATAACGTAAGAGCTGAGAAGCCTAAGTGAATTATGACTGTCTCTCTTCTCACAAGTAGGATTAATTTTCTATCCCACTTATATTCATTATCTATCCTGTTTATACCATAGGGACATCAATTGTTTGAGTATTAAATATACAGACTTTACAGAAAAAGTTTAGGTTAGATAGCTGAGGGAGGAGAGGATATTATTCAAACTCCACGTTTAAAGAACTGTTTTAAATAAAGATTTTCACATTATTTTTAAATGTTTATATCTTCTTTGTAAGCAACATATTTAAAATGGAAGGTTTATAAATTATCCTCCATCTGCCCATGGCCATCCCAATTTTGTCAATAGGAATTTTGCATGCAGATCAAGGACTGTATATGGCCTTTAGAGAGCAGGTCAATAAATGGCTGGAGAAATGATTAAAGACTTCTGAATAGTGCCTTTCCTTTTTCTTACAACATAGTACAAGACTGGCATGAATATAGGCTACCACTCTAATTGGTTATGGAATAAACACAGGAATTTAAATGTGCCCTCATAGGCATTTTTGAAATTCTCAGTCCATTATAATATTTTTTTCTGCCAACTTGTGTCTAGGCATTAGAGTGGACTTAATCATTTAGAGGTCTCCATCCTTTGAGTGTCACTCCAGGCACTGTAACCATATTTTCATGATCCAAAGGCAACAACTGAGACACAGAAAGCCAGCCTTTGGCTAAGATGTACAAAGCTTGTCTTAGTTAGAAGTCTACTCCCGAGGGCATTCTGAGCAAAAAAAAATTAAAATTCTGCATCAAAAAAATAAAAATTCTGCTCACAATATTTTAAAATTCTGCAAAATTCTGCAAGTTTTATTTGTCAATAAATAAATTCAGAGGCTCCAACACGGCAGTGGGGAACACAGGCCACTGGCTTGCTGAAGGTAGGAGATCACCCTGCAGCCCCCCAACCTCCGGGACATGGACGCAGCGGTGAGGCTGCACCTGACCCTTACATAGCACAAGGCCTCTGCCTGCCCCAGAAACACCCTGGGGCCCTGCCCCTCTGCACCAGGTGTAGGGCAAGCAGGCTCAACCGGGCAGGATCCAAGTGTGGAGGAGGTTCAGTGTGGGGGGATCCAGGTGTGGAGTGAGAGGATTCTGTGTGGGACAATCTGAGTGCAGACAGCTCTTTGGGGGGGTCTAGGTGTGGGGAGATATGGATGCATGCAGAGGTTTCCAGGTGAAGGTGGTTGGGGCTCAGCAGAGGAGTCTAGGTGTGGGTATCTCAGCGGGGGGCAGGTGTCTGGGTGCTGGGGGAGTGAGACTTGGTGGGGTGGGGGGTCTGGGTGCAGCTAGTTGGGCGTAGGTGGTGTGGGGGTCTGGATGTGGGGGCTCAAGGGGGTAGGGCATCAGGGTGGGGGTTTGAGTGCAGGGAGCTTAGTGGAGGGTGGTCTGGGTGCAGGGGTGGGGATCTGGAGGCAGGGGTCTGGGTGCAGGCAGGCTCCAGATGCAGGGGTTGAGGTTCAGTGGGGTGGGGTTTGGGTATGGAGGGCTAGGGGGATTCTGAAAGTTCCCAGCGGGGCTTGACAGGGGTGTCTGGGTATGGAAGGGTTAGGATGCATGGGGGTTGGGTGGATGGGGGAGCAGCTCTCCATACAGTGACCCCTCCCCCAACAGCTGAGGAGCAATGGGGGCAGGAAGCAGGGGAGGATGCTGAGCTTCCTGCAGCTGGGGGAAGTTTCTGGGGGTGGGTCTGACACAGCCCTAGTCTCTCCTTCCAGGGGAAGAGGAAGTCCTGTCCTCTCCTGCCTCCAGCCCAGTTGGGACTAGCAGCTGATCCCAGCTCAAGGCAGGAGCCACTGCGATGATTTACCTTTCCACCAGGTGCCTGAAACCATGTACCTGCTCTGCTAGGGAGTGGGTACATGATTGCTCTTGCAGCTTCCCTTTGCTTCCCTGTCAGAAAGTCATTTTTCTGCAGGAAAACAAAGAAATGTGCAGGGGGCATGAATTCTGCACACGTGCAGTTGCATAGAATTCCCCCAGGAGTAGAAGTGACACATGGGGGTCCTGAGCTTGCACCACTGAAGCCAGTGCATTGGCAATAGTTTTGTCTTGACTTCAGTGGGCGCAGGACTGGATCCTCTTTGCATATTTTACACAATATTTTGTGACTACTGACTGTATCACTTATTTAACTGCTTAAGCACAGCAAAAGCCACATCCGGCAGCCACACAAGTAGCTCCACTGAAGTCAGTAGAACTACTCACATGAGTAAGACTAGCAGGATTCAGTCTCAGGTTTGTAAGGTCTGCAATATGCAGAGCCATTGTTTCAAAGCCCTTAAAAGAATATCAACTACAAATGTTATACCATAACTATAGAATAGTGCATTTGATTGTTTATTGTTTTTCTCCCACAATTAAGGGTAGCATAGTAAAGCAAAATGTGAATCTCTGCTATTTGAATCTTATTTAACACTTGAGTGAAAATGTTCAATATAAGATTTATACTCCTATCTGTTTCAGAGTAACAGCCGTGTTAGTCTGTATTCGCAAAAAGAAAAGGAGTACTTGTGGCACCTTAGAGACTAACCAATTTATTTGAGCATGAGCTTTCGTGAGCTACAGTTCACTTCATCCATCTCACGAAAGCTCATGTTCAAATAAATTGGTTAGTCTCTAAGGTGCCACAAGTACTCCTTTTCTTTTTACTCCTTTCTGTCTGTCCCATGTTCAGTACTGTGGGCCTGATTCTCCTCCCATTTTCACTAGTTTTACACCAGCATAACTATGTAAGAGGAAGGAGAATCAGGCCCTATCATTTTTTTAAGTTAGTTTATTTTTCATCACTCCCCGATTATTGCTAGATTCTGGTTCTTGAGTGAAATTCTTTTTGTCTAAATTCAGTACACTATTATAAGATATTCTGCAAATTGCTTTGGTATTGATTGAGCTCAAAGATGTTCAGTACAGTAGTGCTGTTTCTTATAATATGCTGTAGATCTTCCACTGTTATGGCAAAAACACAGTAAAGATAAAAATTAAAAACACATGACAGTGTGTAATATGATAACATTTAAAATATTTATATATTACATATAGCTATCTCTCACAATTATATGTTATATCTATATCCTCATTGTCAATGTACTACAGTTCCTTTCTTTCACAGGTGAAAAAAAAAAACTCTTCTCTGGAAATTCATTTCCATTTACTTAAAGTTAAATGGTTTGACTTTGAATTTTCATTATCTGCTGTTGGAAGGAGCCTGTGACAGGTACTAGAGAGAATGCTACAAAGCTTCATTGTATCATCTAATTTTTGCTTCACTTTAGTCAGATATCATTTAGGCGGAGAGTAAAATAGTATACATAGAACAGGATAAAATAGAACAAAACAGAACAGAAATAAAATAAAATGAAAATAGGATACATAATGAACTACAGTAGAAAAATGCCTTTATCTCTGAAGTGTTGAATTTTTTTTTAGTTATACTGATTCCTCACGAGTGAGAAAATTGAACTAATTTGATATAAAAGGAATATGTCATAACAGGATATAGCATT